GCGCGTACATTTACAATATTTATTTTGTAGTTGAAATTGCAAGTACGGGGCATGCAGTGAACGTACATGCATTGATAAATGCGTAAGTGCCGTTGAACAGGCTAGGCAACGTAATATTCTTATCGGTGTAGAAACTAAGAGCGATTCCTTGATAAAGAGAAACACGCCTGCGAGGTGGAATTGGACCGCAAAACCGTCCACCGAATGGTGTTTCTACCAATTTGCTGGTATTCTCCGATCGTATTTCTGCATACAAGTCCATATACTCATGAACACAACTGAAAGTGAAATTTTTCATAACAGTTTATCTGCGAATAAAAATAGTTTTACTACAAACAATTTACATCAGCAGCTATATATGTAAATACTTACGCGGGTAACTCTCCAACAGCAGCTCCACTGCGAAAGAATAGAAGATAAGCAAGTAGAACTGATTCGGTAGAACTGATTGACATGTATTGAAAGATAATACTTCACAGCTCGTACTTAAATGTAACTACTCACTCTGGCGGTGTTCCTCGTAGGCCGAATGAATTAAATATCAATTCGACTCGTTGTCGCGGTCCAGCGAAAAATGTATACACGCACTGCCGGGAATCTCTTTCAGGATTAATTAACATCGGAGCATGAAAGGTTCCATTTAGTGGGCCATCTGGCGTGCTTATAAACTTTTGATCGCATTCTGGAAAATCATACATCAGCCTAAACATTTTTATACCTAATCAATCAAATCATATATAGCTTATATGCCTCACTTAATTGTACTATTCTTGTTTTAATTCTACTAGAAGAATTAGAATTTCTACGCAACATCGCTTTTTTTCTCCTTCTATAACGCAATTACGTCAGCTACACAACTCGATATTGTTAACAATTCATAGATAATTCCATATGCTAAACCGTGTACCGGAATGTAGATATTTTATCTCTCTTGGCTGTACGCAGAGTACACTCGTGTACGGGAAATATTATTTCTTGATGCCGAAATTATATCGCCTTTAAATTCTCTAGTGCAACTATATAGACAAATATGAGACGTCATCGGAAAAATCTTAAATCACATTTAAATTTACGACAACTCCTATTGTTGATCGTAGTTTATATTGCTGAGTAATAATGGAAACTCGTCTGATTTGAACGAAAATACAATGGTAAACAAACATGGTTACTAACCTGTACTGATATGAGGGCATTGTAGCAAGAACAAGATTAAAGCGACAGAAACGAAATTATTTCCAGGAGCATGCCAGAATACCGAAGCCATACTGCATCCTAGGTATATATATTTGCATTTTGCTCAGTCGGTCTTTCGATTAAAATCGTGATATACTTCTTTTTTTATGATATTACGACAAAATTGTAGAAAAGCCATTAAATGTGATAACTATGATTTTACCATATTGTCAGTTTCTATCCCATGCACAGAAAAAATATGAAATATCAATCCTGAAGATCATCTGTAAACATATGAGTTCAATCTTTTGAATTATTCAGCTACACTCTACATTATAAAACACACACACACACACATACACGCGCGCGCGCGCGCGCTATATCTATATATATATAGATTATTGAAATTGCCAATTAACATGAAACATTAAATTTTACGAAACAAAAATACCGTTATATAAGTATTATATGCATGTTGAACAGAATATGTACAATTATATTTTGCTTGATGACCTCTTAGACACGCCATCGAACGTAAAAAATTGTGTGAATTACGTCGACTACACTAGAGGATACGTTTACTTCAGAAATCATTGATTTCCACCACACCATACCAGGCATCGAACCATCGAACAAATTGTTGAGATTTTTCGTTTTTTATATTTTTATATTCTCACTATTTTTACAATTTACATATTTTACAGTTTCGATCCAAGGAAAAAAGCAAAGTAAAATAAATGATTGGTTAATTTCTTTCTACGCAGAGAATGAATATTGTCTCCTCTTGAGGAGAAGATTATGAAACTTTTCCTGTAAATTGTTACTTAGTCTTACAAAAATATTTCACAACATATAACAAACGAATTCAAACACAATGTAAACATATGAATAGAAAGCAACTCGACTAGGATCTTGAACACGTGTCACGTTAATTTGCCACACCCTCCGATTGTAACACGTAGTGTCCTTTATGATCCTGCGCAGTTACAATATCATTGCAATCGCGGTGTTTATCTCTGATTTGTTACATATCCTTATTATAACATGTACATACTTATATAAATTATAAAATAAATAACTTCTAAAAAGGTTTAGCAATATATATAATTCAATATCTCTATCGCTCTGCTTCTGTCTCCATGATCACAACCGCTGCTCCTTTCACCCTTTATATTTCGATAAGGATAGCAAACTGGTCAATAACAGCAGCGCCACAATGATAAGCAATATTTGTACGTGTCGCGTACTAACCTCTTTTCCATACGGATATGTTTAACATTCGCATTAATATTATGTGCAACGATATTAAACGAAGCTTTTCAAAATAAACTATCATGCACATCTCACTTTTTAAACGAATAAGGGTTAAAAAGAATACATACACTTCGTAACGATTCGTTCATAACGTAAATGCACAGAACGCGCATCATACGATTTCTCGAGCAACAACAACCTCCACAGAGTGACATAAAGGTGATATCATACACAACAAGGGAAATTTCATTTGATCTAAAATGATATATAAACCTCTCACTCTCTGTGTGATGTACGTAAAAAATGCAAGCATCGACTGAATAATGAAACTACTCTCGATGCAAACGAATCGTGCGTATTGCTTCATTCTTTTTACAACAGGTGTATACTTTAGTCAAATACATAATGTACTTAATGTGTACAGACATATATTGTGGATACATACCTTAAAAGATTGTATTTAAAATTGAATATTGAATATGTGTACACACTTCGTATTATAATAATCTCAAAATTACGTTCACTGAATCACGCGACACGAGGCAATAAGCAATCGAGGGTAATAAAAAAACATGCTTATGAACGCGCTTGTGCTTGACCTTTTGTCACCGTACTTTACCACTATGATCTCTCAAAATATCATTTTATCCAATAATAAGCGAAACAGTGAAATCAACGCAGTGCTATACAGTTATTTCAATTATGTAAGAATAGAAAAACAAGTATTTAATGTCTATCGGTGTGGAATATATCGCGTGTGCATGTGCGCGTGTGCATGTGCGCGTGCGCAAATATTTACGCATAAACGTACGTACAACCAAGTATAAAGAAAAAAACTGGACGATGCAATAGATACAACATTAAACAACCCCCATTACTCAGCTTCTGCGTAGTACTGACTACCTCAACACGCCCCAACGATAGAATAGAGGCCGCTAAAGTCAATTGGAATAAGAGTGGGGAGAAACAACTACCTCCTAGTCCTAGTTTGATTCGAGACGCACCAACAGCATTGATTAATTTTTTTGGACTTGTAAGATAACTATCCAAGACTAATTAAATTCACATTTTTAGTAACTAGTGCAGACATAAGTTTTATGCTTTTCTAAATAGCTATTTAATTTTAATCAAATCTACTGTATAATCGAAACTAGTGGTTATCTATATTCTAAACACAGTTAGACATATCCATATTATTATCACTTACATACATACATGAATATGTGCAACATATCAGGAGTACAGATACTAAAAAATAATGTTTATGAATTACACATGTGTCAGTGTATTTTCATAAATTGAAACAGTTAAATCCCATAAAAATCTGAATAGTTTAATTTACATCGATCATCTGGGCATTTTCCTTCCACCATTCGATGCTTCCAGCTTAACGAAATTTAATGCAATTAATAAGAGGACACAAATATCAGAGGGCGGGCAGCAGAAAGGAAAGGACGGAGGGAGGGACGGAGCCGCAGGGCGGGGTTGGGGAGGTGGGGGGATGTAAGTAAACCGAAAGCAAACGAGACAGACACGATACGAAGAAAGGTCGCTACTAAAAAATGTAATCATCTCACCTTTCTGAAAACAGCATCAGTACATTGTTAGAAGCCCACGGATTAAAATGAATATAAACATCACATAAAGCAAGTCATTTTAATATGTTATTACGTATCATCATTTTGCTGTTTACATTGAGTTGATTATTCGAGTTAATATTAGTATGACTTATCGCTCTGACTGTATTTGGACATTCCCTTTACTTTATCAGGTAATACTCGAGTCAATTCGAGAATTTAATTGCTGGCTCCTAAATTGGGTTAAATTCAAACGTGCACTACTGTATAAGAAAAGATAGATTTGTTATTATATTACAATAATATAAATGTAAAACTTAAATGAGTTCAGGTGACTTATTGACAATTACAGAGCTATCAAATATGAAAAACTAGAAGAGTACGATATAATGGATAAGAGAAGAGGGAACGATATATATTCCAATAATATATAAATAAAGTGTAACATCATTTAAGAAAGGTAATTCACATACAACTGTTTATTGAGACATGTAGAATACATCTGGTCATACACAAAAATCTTTGACACTTTAAATCAAGCTCCTAGCCCGAAAAAGGAACCATTTTAACATCATTTCAAATTCATCAATAATTATTACGTTCAACTACGTCACACTAAACTTAGGGACAATTTTAAAAATTGCGGGAATTAAAAAAGAAGCAAAGCAATTGGAAGATGATGAATAATAAAAAAATTTGAAAACGCAATTATCAACGATAAAAGAATTTGGTCCTTTGAAATTTGTTGTTCACTTTTAGCCATGGAGCTGACACGTGGCATGTGTGGCGCGAGAAACATAAACCGTATATGTTCGTGTGAATAGTGTGTTACGTACATTTTTCCATTTTTTTTTCTTTTTTTTTTTTTTTTTAACATTTTTTTTTTATTTTTTTTTCGTACAATTTTTCATTTTTGTTGTTTTCCTCGTTAGTGCTAAATAACATCACGTCACAAAATGGATATCCGCAGGAATATAATATATAATATATTTATATATAATTAAAAAACACGTCTTTGGGTCGTTATTAACATAAATTGAGCGACCCAAAAATCACACAACATCCCCTTGACACGGGCTAACCAAAAAAAGTCAAGTTCCCAAAGGATGTGTGCCGCAAATTAGGGCAATGACCGGGTAAAAGGGTGCGCGCGGCTACAGCATCGTCAGCCACAGTGGTGCATTATCCTAAATGCGACCGATAACCCCCAGGCACCCCAGCTGCCACACCGGTCAATTGTATAAAATAGCAAAGGCTAAACGATTTAATATTGGGGCGCCTTAAGGCTGGGGTAGGGCCAATATCGTAACGCTAGTACCTAGATCAGTCTAAAGTCTCGTCACCGTGAACTGCTTCCGCTTTTGCCAGGTTAATGCTTCCTTGCCCCCGTAAGCTGAACATTTCCTCTTTATTTCCGTTCGTTTGATCATTCCTTTCTTCTTTCTTTCTCGCATATTTACTTCCTACCTGTCCGTCTTATATAAGTATATATTCATTCTCTACTATAATTTTGAAGGAAAACCAGAATTTATATGGAACCGTTATTGTATTACAAAAACCCACTCAGTATAATTAGCAGTATCATTCTTATCATATTGTTAATATTAATATTATTATATCCTTGATATTATGTTTTTATAAATAGGGTGTGTGTTGGTAGGTAGAATAGGTAGGTATAAAATATGGTAAATGAATAATGAGTTACGAGGGAAAAGGACTAAAGGAATGAGGGATAGTAATATTGATGAATAAGAATAAAACCAATAACTTGTTCGATTGCTGGCTTCTCCTCTTCCCTCCTCCAATCTAACCATTCTACGCCCTCTCTCACCCGCCCCATAATTAATTAATTATTCGATCGTTTGCTCATTCGTCCGTTCTTTTTCTATTTACTTCTTTCATTTATATGATCGCATGACCGGGGACAGGAAGTAGAAATGAGGGAACTTCAATTGTTAGATATTACAGTTGTGTCATCGTTACAAAATTTGTATCAATGACTAAACAAAATCGGACTTAAGCAATTATAAATGAATGAAATGTGCAACAAAATGATTATCGATACGAGTTTAAAAACAATCAACTAACATATCGATATTCTGTTTATGGAAATTGATCGATTTAAGATTCAAATGGATAGGAATTATAGGCATTTTTATTTCTTGCCTGGATGTTTGTTTAATTCCTTGTCATTCCTCTTATTATTCTCGCACGGAATTGCATTTCTCTCATACCTACTTATGTGCATTTTATCCAATGGGGCTGAAGTACATGGTATTTTTTTCGTTGATACTATACATGATAAGACAATACGGTGATATGCAGTCACTTCGTTACAAATGAATTAATCTTTCTCAACTTTTATCTATCTTTCTGTCACAATTCGGGGGTATGTGTAAAACGCTATTAGGCTTCGCTTATGTTTTCATTTCAGTTATTCTCCAGAACAGGGGGTGTCTGGGCTCCAGGGACAGGGACCAACTATAGCCCGCATTTGCAACTCTTACTAATTAACTAACAGGCTAACAATAACAACGAGTCAACACTCAAAATGTGTGCTGTGTGTGTTCATGCATTTGTAAACGCTGCGTACACTTTACACATCCTAAATCAATCCGTGACTATCATTATCAAATTCGGTAGTCAGTCGTTCTAAAAAAACTTCCCTGTGTGTAGCAAGGGTCACGTGGTGAACGCAATATATAAATTTTGAAAGTAAAATTTAGCATAAAAATACAAACGAAACATATAAGATATACTTTCTTTCCTCTATTAGTTTCGTTCGTTTGTACGTATTCAACGGTTCTTTGTTTAATGTTCTAATGATAAAACAAGAAAACGAAAATCAAAGAAAAGAAAATGAAAGAAAAACTGAGGAAAAAATAACTCAAATAGGATAAATATACTATACATTTCAAATTTAATTTTTCCACTATTCCAACTACCATTAAGAAGTTTTCCTATGTAAATGAATTTGTTCCTAGTCAATTTTGTGACTTTGAAAGACTTTGCTTTCTTTTGCGCATTGAAATTTTGATTTCCCCTCCGTTTCTGATCGTTTACCCGTACTTATAATGAAACAAAAATAAAACATTTGCACGCAGAACCGTTGATTTCTAACATTCGATTTTCTATTCCTGTAAAATCTGCCTGACCCTTAATAGTAATAATAGTTTCACTGACTGTACACATTATAGACCAACAATAGAAGGTCTAGCTGCGCTAGGCGCGCTGCACGTATCACACATACATATGAGTGCGCGAATACGCCGCACGTACACCCACACACGCGCGCAACATGCAAGCATGCATTCGTAAAACTTGTTACGAGTAGTTTTTCCTTTCCTTATCTTACAAAAAGAAAGAAAAAAATATTCAAATTGATCACTATATTAATATACTTGCAATAATTCGCTCATATCAATAAATCTACTCGTTCATTCTCACTTTCATTCATACCAACCTCTGCTCACGTTCTTCCCACTCCTTGTTTCCGTCTCTGCATTCTATATTTCCCAACATGATATTTAGCTTTTCCCATATTTTTCTTTATTTCTATTGTTTCTGTATCTCATCTATACATGTTCTTCCTTGATTTACCCATCACATACACATGTTCTCTCACATACACTCAAAAAGTCGAATTGTAGCATAATAAAATCGCAGACTTCCTCGATTTCTCTTAATTAATACAAGCCATCACAATCCCAATATCAACACCGCTGATCTTTGTATCACTTGGCAGTAAACAATGTGACAATGTAGTAGTACTTTGACCTCTGTCTGTCTGTGTGTGTGTGTGTGTGGGGGGGGGGGTTAGTAGAGGCAGTAATAGTAATAGTAGTAAAGTAGAAGAGGAAAAAGAAGAAGTGGCGGAATCAGAGGAAGAAAAAGAAGAAGTAGTTACAGAAGTAACAGAAGTAGCAGCGGTAATAGTAATAGTAGTAAATAGTAGTGGTGGTGATGGTGCTAGTAAGTAGTGCTGGTGGTGGCGGTGGTAGCAGTGTAACAGTAACAGGGTAGCAGTAGTAGTAGTAGTAGTGGTGGTGGTGGTGGTGGTGGTGGTGGTGGCGGTGGTAGCAGTGTAACAGTAACAGGGTAGCAGTAGTAGT